TGTGGCTTACCTACTGACTTATACTCCTTAAAAAGTAAATTGAGAGCACAAAAAGTAAAAGAAAGCTTTCCAGAATAAACACAGGAACAGAATTCTAGTCCTAGCTGTATTGGGTCACCTATGTCACCTTTGATTATTTTATCCCTGTAACCAATATAATTTATGCATTGTTTCTGCTTGAGGCATTGTAACTGCAAGAAGGAGTAATTGTGACCTGAATGCCCTTTTCCAACTGAAATAGTTTTTACTTTCTCTTTGCTCCCTCCTTTCTTATCTCTAAGCCTTTGAAGTTTAATTCCTGTTAAAGATGACTTCTACACATGTGGAACTTTACTAGCCTTTGAATAGTTTCTGCTCATGACAAAACCAGTTTTTGTTTTTGTTTTTTTTTTTTCTTTCTTCCTTAGAGGAACAAAAGCCTCTTTTCAAATGTGCCTTTGTCTGGGTATAGTGCCACATGCCCCTATTTTCAGATACTTTGAAAGTTGGGGGGGGCAGGGAGATAGCTCAGTAGAGTAAGCGCTTGCCTGGCAAGTGCAAGGGCCTGAGTTCAATACCTGGTTCTGCAAAGAAAAAAAGAAAAAAAAAGGAGTGGGGTGCAGAGAGATGGCTCAGTGGAATAAGTGCTTCCCTGGCAAGCGCAAGGGCCTGAGTTTAATCCTTGGTTCCGGAAAAAAAAAAAAAGAAAGAAAGAAAGAAAGAAAGAAAGAAAGAAAGAAAGAAAGTAAGTTTAGGCAGGAGAATTGCAAGTTCAAGCCCAGCCTAAGCAATTTGGTGAGACCTTATCTCCAAATCAAGTAACAGAAGGTTGGCATTGTGGCTGTGTGGTACAGCACATCCCTAGCATGGAGGAGCCCCTGGGCTCAATTCCAAGTACAACACATACACACTCACTTTTTAAAATCACAATATATGGTGGGTATGGTGGCTCATACCTGTGATCCCAGGACTCCAGAAGGTAAGACAATAGGATCACCATGAGTATGAGGTCTGTCTGGCCTACATAGTGAGACCCTGTCTCAAAAAACAAACAAAAAATTATTATGATGTATCTTCATCCCCCTTATTCACCACATCTGGTACCATGGGACTTCTGGCTCTTTCCTAAAGTCAAAATGATAATGAAAGGTAAATATTTTAAATGGATTCTGGGCTGGTAATCCAGCTCAGTGGTAAAGCAATTGCTCAACATGCATGAGGCCTTGGGTTGAATCACTAGCAATGGAGAAAGAAGAAAGAAAGAAAGAAAGAAAGAAAGAAAGAAAGAAAGAAAGAAAGAAGAAATTGAATAAATTCAAGACATGAAGGCAGTTATGACAATACAAATAAAGATATCTGTGAAAGAGGGCTTTCAGAACTGCTTTAGAAATAGTAAAAAGGATAGAATAAGTAAGTTTGGAGCAAGGGGAAGTATTTTAAGGGGGATTAATAACAATGTGTCCGTTACTGAAATAAAAAATTTAAATTTAGACATTTGCCATATTTTTAGATTAAACTTTATATATACATTATGAAATAGTTAAATTCAGCTAATTAACATATACATTATTACATATACATATAGTATTATTACTATACTATTATCATAGTATCATTACTATAATACTACCATAGTATTCTTACTATAATACTGTTATCATAGTATTCTTACTATAATACTGTTATCATAGTACTATAATATTATAGTATTATTTTTGTGGTGAAAAGTTGTAGGTTTTATTACTTTTCAATAATATATGATCTGGGCATTGGGGCACATGCCTATAATCCCAGATACAGGATGGCTGTGGCAGGAGGACTGAAAGTTTGAGGCCAGGCGGGCAATTTAGCAAGTCTCTGTGTCAAAAAGGGGGGTGGGGGAGGAGAAGAGGAGGTCTGCTGATGTAGCTGAGTGGTGAAGGTAGAGTACTCCTCGGTTTGATCCCTAAGATTACAAAAACAAAACAAACTAGTGTATGGACATTAACTATAGCCATCATAAAAATATTAGTCATAAAAATATTATAGGCAGTAGGACAGGGCTAGACCCTCAAGAGAGTTAGTGCAAAAGATGAAAATATACTACAACTGTGGATGGAGGCACATCATTAAAGTCCAGGCCTCAAGAGAAAGAATAACCAGACCTACGTGCCTTCCCAGGGGATAAGCAAAATACTACAATTGGTATACCTGGTTCAATAAAGTCTAGTAGTTATCAGTCACCCAAGTGGTTGAGCAGGACCTCCTGTCTCGTTTCTTCCAAAAGATTCTTGATCTTTCCACATACACTTGCTTCCTCTCTAAATCAACATTACTTAAGTGGCTATACTTAAATGTTATTGGTTGATCATTGTTTTGTCTCACATTATACTACCTCATGATTTTGCTCTATAAAACTTCCTCCAAAAAGTGGGGTCTATGACAACCCATTCCTGTCTCTCTCAGGAGTTATATCTCTCTCTCAATAAAATTTTCTACTCTTAACTTCTGTTGTTCCTTAAAATTCATTCTTCAATTCTAGAGAACACAAACTTGGCATATAAGACATCTAGCAGGTTGAGAGTTATAATTTCCCTTCTATCACTTAGAGGTCCTATATCAAACATGCTGTGCAGTGGATCCAGAGGCCACTACTGTTATTAATCCCCTTGACTTTTTTTTCTATGCAGTTTTATTGCCTAAGTTGAGATTATATTCACACTATTTCCTAACCATCTCTGGATGAGGAGGATTAGGAAACAAGTAGGCGAAAGATGACAATAGATTTAACTATTCCACAATGCATATATGCTTTAAAACATCATGGTGTACACAATAATACATAACAATTCTTTCTGTCTCATTCCCTAAGGGAAGATCCCTGTAGAGTGGAAAGATGACCACAGCAGCAATGTTTCTGCTGGTTCTGATCCTGTAACCCATGGCCACTCTACCCACAGAGGGACTGCACTCCAGAACTCAGGATTCTAAGAGCCACAGGTGGCATATTAGGGAGGTCCCAGTGGAGATTCCCTCTAAAGGCTGGGAAGAGGGTCTTTCATATTTCAGATCAGTCCTGACCAACTCATCCTCTGCATGGAACTTTCAACATGGAAGATTTCCTGAGTCATGGCAACTCTGCTGAGGGCTTTGAGATCTGAGCCATCCCAAAGTGCAATTGCTGCTCTACCAGTGGAGAGGGGTGTTGGGTGGGTGGGGGAGACAGAACTACTTCAAATGCTCTGGGATTTCTGAGTTTACATTGAACAAGACCAGCTGAACAAAAACAAGTGATATGAATAAGCCTACTCACCTCCATATCCCAATCTCAGTTCCAGTCTCTCTGACCCTCACTCACCTTCCATAACATGCCCCAGTCCCACCCAGCTTCCAAGAGTACAATTTATGGGGAACCTATTCACTAAAGTACCTATACTTTGCTAGAACACTCTGCGATGCCCAGAGGAATGATTCCATAGCTATGTAATATATTATAAAGCAGTCTTCTCTCTGGCACCTCATCTTCAGAGCACGTTATGTATAGACAACTGCCAAGACCATGGTCCCTGATAAGCCTCAATTTCCCCAACAATAAAAACAAGCAGCAAAATTAGGTCATTTTCCAAGTCCCTTCCCATTTTGATGTATGAGGCTTTAGAGTTGAGACTTCAGCCTCCAATTCTGAAGCACAGGGCTGGCCAGGCCTTGTTAGGAAGCAGCTTGTCTGTGGTTTGGCATCACTGCCCAGCAGGCATTTATTAAATCAGTGGGATATGGTCCCTGCTGGCCTAGAAGAGAACATTAAGCTCCAAAAACTTCCTGCAGCAGGCCTGCTTTGGAGAGTGCTGCTCAGAGGGGCGAGGAACAAAACCATTTAGGTCCTTGGCTGTGCTCCAAGATCCTGTTTGCTAGTACTTTTGCCCTGTCTGCACAGAGAACCAGTGACTGGAAACATCTGGAAGCCTGCTTAAAACCTGGGTGACCTCTCTTCCTTCAGGGGTGGTTGTTCTTGACTCTGGTAATCCATGATGACCTTTGCCAATGCCCCTTCCCTTCCAATCTTCTGCACTTCATTGGGTAACAAGTTTCTAATAAAAACCAGATGTACCCAGCTGGTAACAGCTTCTGGAAAGGCTGTAAGATCTAACACCTGCCCCTGCATTCATTGAGCCCTAGTAGCAAGGGAAAAGAAGGCTGAGGCCCAAATCTTGCAGTAGAGTTGTGGGGAAAAGGTGGAGTAGATGGAGGTGGGAAACAGCGATGGTGAGGATCTGCTGAAGCAGGGAAAGGCCACTGCAGGTGAGGAATGCACAAGTGGAGTGACATGGCAACTTGTTGGCCCAGCAGAGCCCCAGGGGCCTGGGCATGCCTCATTCTTACTGACCTTAGTCCTGCTGACAAGGCTTATCACTTTGAGAGACAGTCCTAGGCTGAAAGCAGAGGAGTCCAGAATTGCCTGTTTTCTCTGTTGTGACCTGGACAGCCACCCAAAGTTCCTTGGGTCTCTAATTACCTAAGGGAATATTTACAGAGTAATAGTAAGATATGTGTCTGGTGTTGGGGAGAGATAGATCAGTGGACAAGCAAACTCAGTTTCTGGGCTTCAGTCTTGCTTGTTTGGAGATCCTATTACAGGTCACAGTCTTGGCCGACTCCAAAGGGGGTGGGATACTTGGAGTTCCAGAAGCGGAAGGGTTTCCCTAGCAGTGCTGGGTCTCTCTCATTTGGACTCACTTCCCCTTAGCTTTTCCAGGGTATGGTGTTTGAATATAGGATTCCTTCCATCTAGAGACTGAAGTTAGAATTCTGATTCACCAATGGCAAAATTCCAAGTAGCTGAGTGTGGTGGCACATGTCTATAATCCCAGCACTCTGGGAGGCTGAAGCAGGTGGACTGGAAGTTGAAGCACAACTGGGTAACTTAGTGACACCATGTCTCAAAATTGTGAAAGAGGGCTGAACAAAAAAGGCCTAAGCTCAATCTCCACTATTCTTTTTTCCTCCCTCCAAAAGAGAGTCTAAGAAATAAACATAGATCAAAAGACAAGCAAGAAGTTTAAGGTTTATTTATAAAGTAGAAGAATGCACTTCCTGGGCATAACCTTTTTAAAACAATTTTTTCTCCTCTTTTGTCTTTTCACTTGGCTAAAATTCTTACTTGCGCTCATCTGTGACCTCTACATTGATTTCACTAACTTATCCCCACTTGGCAATTATAAACCAGATCAGTATAGTTTTCCATTAAATGGAGAGTATGTTAATCTCAGAAGGCCCCCAAGGATGCTATAGAAGAAAATGCCTGCTCTGGTCAGCTCAGGATGCTGTGGAGCAGAGAAACTGGTGTCCTTCTTGGAATGCTGCCTTCATCTCCTTGAACTGAGCCAACTGGCAAGCCTCATCCAGCCCCAGCCAGCGGTAGGCTTGGTGCTCGTGGGAGAGACGGATTTCCACGTTGTAGTCTTTCACCTCTGCCAGCCAATAAATGACTGTTTTAGGCTTCCCTCTGGCCACATAATTTAGCTCCTTTCTGAACCCCTCAATGATGGTCAGCTGGCCTGCTTCTATGCCTGCTTCCTCCCGGGTCTCCCTCAGAGCTGTTTCTAAGTCATTCTCTCCGGGGTCCACATGGCCTGGTTAGGAGGAAGCAAAAAGAAAAGAAGTAAATTGTCAACAGTTTCTAGTGCTGGATTTTTTCAGGTTACATGATTTAATGATAGGTTCTTTGGTGATTTTTTTTCTAGGTTTGGTTTAAAGGAAATTTAGAGATTGGCAATATCCTAGCATGCATGGGAAGGGGTACAAGACAGGTAGTATTGGGTTCTTGAGGTCTGAGCAACCCTCTCTCCCCACTCCATTTTCTCTGTAGAATGAAAGAGACCATGTGTTTGGCAAGTCAGGTTTAGAATACTGCTTTTCAATGGAAAGTGAGATGGCCTCTCTCAGCTTTCTGCTTTCTTATTCATTGGAGCTCTGTTCCTCCTGTGTACTGAGGGACAACTTTTCCCTAGGAGACCATAAGCAAGTTTTCCAAGGAGGGGCAGTTTCTTCTTGGCAGGGAAAGGTCTAGCTGCACAGGGAGTACTTTACTTACAATCCAGTGCGGACTTAACACTGTCTACAGTTGGACCCTGAAGTCTGGGGGCCAAACACAGGCTCAGAACCCTGTGCTGCTACACCAGCAGCTGTTTCCAAGTAGCCATCAAGGTTTTTTCCAAATTGTTTTCATCTTTCTAACTGAGCAAGGCCAGATTTCAGTTTCATTGGGAAAATCCTGGTGGGAACTTAGACTAAGGACAAGTTGAGAGCCAGTTCTAAGACAATTTGGCAAGCAACAGCTGCCAAGAAACTGTTGTGGGAGAACTTGAAGCTTTGCAGACTAGAGCAGCCCTCAGCTTTACTTCTTGGCCTTTCACAAAGTCTCAACCTGTCCAAAGGGGCCCAGAAGCTCTGGGAAGCAAAGGTTCCTCTGTCTACTCACGGCTCTGGCAAGGTACTCGGGGCCTCCAGGTTTGCGAGCTCAGGGGGAGCAGGACCCCTTAATTCCACCCCCCTTTTTTTTTGGAGATGGAGCTATAGCCTACCAGTTCTTTTCCCCAGAGGCCCACAGAGCAGTAACATAAAGCAGTTACTGTTACACAAAAAACAAGGAACTTACCATTTAGAGAACCCATTCTGCTGGCTGTGGTGGTGCACGCCTGTAATCCCGGCACTGATTACTTACGCAGGTTTGAGGCCAGTCTGGGTTACATAGTGAGTTCTAGACCATCATGAACTACCCTATTCAACCTGTTTCTGAGTACATCTCACCAGGAACACATCTGTTTAGTTTTGTTTTCATCGGTGGTAACAGGGTAACTTCTCCCTAAGCTCAAGCAGGAAATAACTAGAAGTCCTTTTACATCTTTTAGGGAGAGGAACCATGCAGTGTGACTTGGGCATTCAGGAGCTAAGTGTGAATATTCCTATTCATAGTATTCCTGACACTTGTCTCTTCTCCACCTTTTTTCTCATACCTCAAATGTGCAAAAATTTGTTTCCTATTACCATTTCCTTGTTTGCTTCCAACTCTACATCCTTGTCCACCCCTCCCCATCCCAGTCCCCACTCCCTCTCTATCTAGGGGATGTTCACTCTGGGCTCCTCATCCTAACAGGTGCCAGAACCACCATCTGTCTTTGCCTGCTGGGTGATTCTAATGGCTTCAGCTAACAGTGGCTTTTTTCCTCCACTTCTCCTTACATAGTAGAGCTTCTCTCTTAGGACCATCCAATAGAATCTATCTTACTCATTTTTTTGTGGGGGCAGTTTTGAGAGTCTCCCTATCTAGTTTGGGCTGGTCTCAAAAGTTTTCATAATCCTCCTGCCTCAGCCTCCCAAGTGCTAGGATTACAGGAGTGTGCCATCATGCCACCCCTTACCTGTAGCATCAGGAATTTGGGTGAAAAAAAAAGAAAAAGAAAAGGTCTGGGGACATAGCTCAGTACAGTAAGTGCTTGCCTGGCAAGCACAGGGTCCTGAGTTCAATACCTGGTACCACAAGCAAACAAAAGGAATGGGGGTGAAGATCATCCAACTAACAAACAGATCTTTGCCAGCCCAATTCCACTAGTCTTTATTGTTTTGTATTCTGGAGACCTATCAACTCCACCCAAGTGCTGAGTGATGGACCCAGGGCACAGGTGGGCTGGCCAAGCTGCACCTGAGGTCTCTCTGTTTTTCATGGCTCCTATTCCTTACTCTTCCACTCCTGCCAGTCTATAGATGAATCTATTATCAGGAAACCCATCCTCTCTATCCTTCTAACTCAAAATACAATTATGTTTAGAAATACTCCAGAACCTATATGCTCTGTTTAGTTCAAAAGAGAAACGTGACAGGGACACTGAATAAAAGGGACTTGATCAAATGAAATCAGAAACAGGCCTGGGAGAGAACTTGGGATTTTCTTCTTTAACAGAGCAAAAACTCAAAGCCCACAGAGGTGGACACATAGGACGGTCATGACTCAACCTCCACATCCTCAATTCCTAGCCAAGAGACTTTTCTCCTTCCTATTCACTGTAGAGACTAGAGCTCTGGTGAATGATACTCACAATGCTGCTTCTGCCTTGGGATTCAGCCACAGAATTCTATTTCCAGCTCTGTTCTGGTTTGGAGACCTTGTATTTAGAAAGGATCAAGGGTTCTTGCCCACCCCACCCTTTCCTAGTACACAGTCACTGGGAACAAGACTTTTAGGGGGTCCAGTAGGGTGGATTTCTTTTTTGTTGCCTTATTCTTTTTGTTTTTTGAGACAGCCTCTTGCTATGCAGTTCAGACTCACTTTAAACTATGTAGCCTTAGCTGGCTTCAAACTCAAAGTGATCCTCCTGCCTCAGCCTCCCAAGTGCTGGGATTACAGGCATATACCACCATGCCCAGCCCAGGGTGAATTTCTGAGTGATGACTGGCATTTCCCCAAGACCCAGCCCCTCTGCCTTCACACCTTTGGGAGGAGTCCAGTGATGAATGCCATCTGATGCCTGTAGCAGAAGAAACTCAATTGTGCTGTTGTCCAGCTTGGGAATACAATGTCTTCGAAAGACGATCAAACCACATGCTCTCAGGGCCATGGTTCATCTAAGAATTTAACACAGAAGAGATATTACACAAAATAAGAATACCCCGAAGCTAGGCAGCAGCACTCTGGTGCTTGAGAGGATACTAGGTAACAGTGATCTCAGAAATCCCCAGAAAAAGGCAGCATGCCAATAGCCAGTGGAGAGAATGCTGGAATCAAGAGACAAGACCTTCAGATGTAACTGCAGGACCTTGGTAACCACTCTCAGTCAATGTGGTCACTACCTTAAGTCCTCTTGGTCTCCCTGTAAAACACAGGACTTATGTGTATTTGTTATAAAAGTGGAGATCTTGGGAAGTAAACCTACAACCTATGTCCTGGGTACCTGCAACAAAGAGATCCAACAATGGGGTTTTGATGACTCCGAGGGGTTACCTAAAACAGGCAGTTCAGTGTACCTTAATGTAGTGTACTCTGCTTACTTTTTAGTCTTTTCTTTTATCCATGTTTTGTTTTTCTGTTGTTAGTCTTGCTGTTTTGAGATGTTGTCAACTAAACTCAGGGCAGTACCACATGTGAGGCAAACACTCTATCACTCTGCTACATCCCCAGGTATGGTTTTGGTTTTTTGAGACAGGGTCTCATTAAGTATCTCAGGCTGGCTTTGAACTCATGTGCTCCTGCCTCAATCTCCCAAGTGCTGGGTTATCAAAAGTGTACCACCTGACCCAGCTATTAGGCTTTTTTAATATGTTAGATATTCACATGGTCAAAATCTAAAGTTCAAACAGGTAGAAGAAGAAAGTCTCTTACCCACCCCAGAAGAAGCAAACTAGTATAATGGTCAAGAACATGAATTTGGAGCCTGGTTTCAGGCTCTAGCTCTGACCCTTATTTGCTGTGTGTCCTCCCAGTTGGCAGTTTCCTCATCTATGAGATGGGATGGTAACAGTTCCACCTGAAAGGGTTGGAACATCTGCAAAGATGACTTGATTTCATTTTTGTAGTGATTTGGATAATGCACTCAATATATATTTTCTCCTTTTATCTTTTTTTGGAAGCAGTACTGAGCCAAAGAAACCCAAGGCTTCTTGCTAGGCAAGTGTTCTACCAATGAGCTACATCTCCAACCCTTTTAAAATTATTTTTTGAGACTAAATTTCCCAGGCTGGCCTCAAAGTTGTAATCCTCCTGTTCTCACCTCCCACACAGCTAGGATTACAAATGTTCACAACTGTACCTGGCACTCTATATGTGCAGAAAAATACACTTCATTAATCATGGTTTCTGGGAGATAAGATTATTGAGGAACTTTTTTCTATTCTGTTTTGTATTATTTGAAATTTTACAAGGAATATTAACTACAGCCTGAACTACATAGTGAGTTCCTGTCTTAAAAAATATATTTCTGGGGCCTTGCCCAATAGCTCAGTTGTTTAATGCACCACTTGGACAAATGCAATATGGTGCATGAGACCGCAGTTTGATTCCCAACTCCAGAAGCTGCACCAGACCCATCCTTAAGGCAGCCTGAAGTAGGAAAAAAAAAAAAATCATTCTCGAATTAAAAAAGGGGGTGGGGCTAGTTAAATAGCTCAGTGGAGTAACATGACTGTAAGCAGGTGCAGGGGCCACAGGTTCGATCCCAGGGCCTGCAGTGCCAGCCCCGCCCTTGGGGTGCACTGAGACAGCAATTGAGACTGGGTGTGGTGG